ACTCCGCCAAACAAGGTCTCTGGGTCCAACTACGGCAGCATGACTACTCTTGGGAGCTGCCTAAAGGTATAGGGCTTAGGCTTAGGGCCACTACCAGCTACTGTAGAAGTGCCGATGCTGCCAGAGACGCGGTGCTACCTGAACCTGGAACCTTGCAGGTCCGGCCTGGTCAAGGCATCCTTCTTCTCCTGAAAATGCCGCTGGCTATCTGCATGCTCTTCCTGGCGATGAGGATTTCTTACGGAGGTGCTGGCAGTGCTTGGTTTCGGAGGGTGGAGTGCAAACTTTCAGGTATCCTTCCTACTGGTAGTTTGAGGTGTAGACACTTGAGTCTCTCGGGATGTTCGCTTGGTGTTGTAGGAAGCAGCTCCCTAGTCGAACAAAGGGGTAGATTACATCACTCTGTACGGTGCAAATCGGGATGCATGGCTCGGGGTTGCTGAACTGACAAACCCGTACCTGTTGCTGGTGCTGCAAGAGCCTGGGAACCACAGGTCAACATAGTTTCTCTTGTTGCTTGACGTGGCCGTGGCCCCTGTTTAATTTGCGACTGTCGTCAAGCATCTCCAGCATGTCACGTCTTCTAGTTCCAGGGGCTTCCCATAGAGATGCTGCCGGCTGTGGTCTTTGCTCGGTCTTCCGAAAGACGGCAGTCTTTTTCTGGAAGGCGCAGTTGGGTCTGGAGGCCGACCCGAATCTTTATCGAGGTCGCCGGCCGTGTGCATAGAAGAAGTGCTCGTGGTGCTTAGCACTCACCCAGTTGTCATGTGAACATTGACAACATGCCCGCGTTGCCAACTGCAGACTTCTGCTTGAGCAGTGGAGCAGCACAGTCTAGTCCTGCACTGCGCAGCTCAACAACCTTCCCCAAGTTGCAGTTCTTCAAATGGGAAAGCCCAAAGCTATGGATCTCGACTCTTCAGGTCCAAGACTCCGAGTCCGAACCCTAAATCCCCGTATCCGACAATCCCCAAATACTTGGCGATATTGAAGGTCTGGACCTGACTATCATATCCGCCACAAGTGCCTATTCCTCTGAAAGGGTTGAGAGGCAAAAGTGTTTGGGCGGCTGTTGAGCCCGGCTCAACTTCCAATGCATTGCTCGTAGCGTTGCCCCAAATATAGAAGCACCCCGACCCCCCCCCCCCGCTCCCCCCCCCACAAAAAAAACAAACAAAAAAACACAATTCGTGGACTGAAGCCTAAATCCTACACCCGCCCGAAACACGGGCAATGCAAGTCGGGAAACTGTAGATCATGCGGGGCTCCGGGCTGCTTGATGCCCTAGGGTAACGCAGTAACCCTCTGCAGTTTGGGCAGCCAAGAGCTTGAAAACGATGAGGCATCAGAGCCTTGGGGGAAAGGTTCGGGAGTCAGCCGTCCGTGCCTTTCATGACGGTTCTGGCTCTAGGGCTTCTCTCCAGTCTCCAAATCCTTTCCGGGGAGAGAAGAGGGGTTGAAACCTTCAACCCTAAACCCTAAACCCAAAACCCTATGAAACTTTCCCCTTCTTGTCACCTTCACGGTGGACAGCCCGAAAAGGGCTGAATATCGCACGCATTGGGGGGAGCCGTGGCTGTCACAGCTTCGACCCTCAGGAGCCCTGCAAGGAAAGCATGAGTAGGCCTATCTAGGAGTTTCCGAAAATAGGGGACCCTAATATACTACCCTAAATAGTAGGTAGGATCCTTATTATAAGGACCCCAAAATAAGGTACCCTAATTTTCGGAAACTCCCATCTGTATTCACGATACACTAGGGCTCCCTTATTAGACGGTCTAAATTCTCTGAGCTCCACAAGCTCGCACCATTGTGGATGCGATGAAACCCGCAGCCGTTTTCCGGAACTCTTACAGCTCCAGCGTCTGCGGCAGGTCATTACCGACCTCCTGCGGCGCTCTTTCCAGGATTCCCGCCACGCGGCTACTCTGACATCCAGGTCTCGCTGAATAGCCTCGTCATTCAGACCGTAATCTAAAAACATGTTGCTCTCTGTGAGACATGTAGGGCTGCAACACGTTCTTCGTGAACCCAGAATGTGCGCTACTTTTCACAAATCGCGAATGCATACCGCGGAGATGCCCTGCACCGAGCTCTGTGGCGGAACTGCTCAGGCTCACACATGTGCAAGCGAATAGCTCCTACGAGCGGACACGGTGTGTGTGTGTGTATATATATACACATGTATATGTGTATAAGTAACTATATGTATATATGTATGCATGTGTGTATGTTATATGTATATATATATATATGTATAGTATAAACATAGATACATATATATATATATATGTGTGTGTGTGTAGAAAGGCCTGCAAACTGTTTGGCTATGTAAAGATCCTAGACAATAGATAGATCGATATGTATACAACTTTATACAGACATAAATGCATAGATAGTTCGATGGGTAGGTACGTCGACAGGTAGATCTATCTGGACGGACGGATGGCAGGACGGATGGAAGGATGCATGGATAGGTAGGTAGATGGGTAGATAGATAGAGAGATAGATAGATAGATAGATAGATAGATAGATAGATAAATAAATAGATAGATAGAAAGTGCACACTCGTGCTTTATGAACGAGATATCTCTCCATTTCTCCTATGTCGAAGCCTTCTGACGGGAGTATCAAGTAGAACATTAAATCAATGTAGCGTTTAGTTTAGAAAGCACCAGGTACCAATGACACTGTGGCGTGGATCTGGGGATGGTAAAGCGTTTTGGTCTTCCACAGCAAGATCCAGCAACCACACTCTGGAATTCATAAGAAGCGACAGCGCTGCACTGTCGCAAGCTACCAAGTGCAAAACGCTCAATTGCCGTACTCCCAACAGTACTGCCGTTCGGCAATGGGGCATAGTTACTTTCGATCAACACATCACCGGCTTTCCTACATGAGTTTTCGGCGGACATTACCAGACTTTCTTTTCGGAACTGAAAAACTGCACTTTCCTAGCAGCCAATCCAGACGGGCAAGACAGAGAGTACATAGCTGTGTGTATATATATATATATATATACTGCCTTGCGGCACATCTGATCGCTCATGCAGAACAACAACAAACACAATGCACGGTCCCATGCGAACCACCCTGACACTATTCTGGATATCTGCAGGCTGGGTAGCCTCGCAAGGTTGGTCCCATGTTTGATTTGTGTAAATATTCTGACTTTCCGGAAGGAGTCTTTACGGCAGAAGCCGTAATTTCGATGACGTTTCATGCTCGATGCCGCCCAAATTCAATGTCTTAAAGCCAAATCAGTATCAAACCTGGAGACCCCAAGTCAGAGAAAACAAGTTCCCCAGATGTACAGATGTACGTATAGTTAGGAGTATTTTCTGTGCTCAAAGGAAGCATCTTTTTCTGGTTCCACTAAGGAAAGGATTGAGTCTCTTAGTCTTTCTTTCAAGACGAAAAACCAAAAAGAAAACCCGGCCAAGTTGTAATGCAAGGCAAGAACTTTGTTGTTCTTTTATTTTGGCTATCCGTACAAAACGAAAAGGAGGCAGGACGATCACCAATTTAGAGGAACAGGGTGGAACAGGCCGCTCTTCCATCTGCGGTGCACAAATCGGACGCCCGCTTTGAGGCAAAATTAGGCAGCTAAGTGATATGTTCTAGTGAACATCTGCACGGTATCCAAACCACCGATAATTACGGCGCTTTTACCTGGACCTGTTGGCATAGATACTAATGCCTACACACAACCCAAGAAAGAAGACTAAGAGCTTGGCCCTCGGAGTGCACAGCATTTTCCCAAATTGCTCACTCGAACACAGGTAGCACCGGACCATGGCGGAGTAAGAGTTTAGGGTTCAGGGCTTGAGATATGTAAAGACAAAGAAAGATGCGCAAAAACATATGTTATAGATGTAGTTGTGACAATGGTAGATTAGCACAAGTAAACTGAGTGAGTATGGGTATAATCAACTATTGAAAGAAACAGAATAATTGACACATGCAATTCAAAAGCATACAAATGTGCCTGCAGCATGCGTGCCCTTCCTCCTCATATTCTATATTGTCCCCGTGCCAACACGTCAGCCACCACAAAGCATCATTTACAAGCTGAGTGACCGAAGACATGCTCGCAGCAGACCCTATGACTGCATTCAAGCACCTTATATACCGCTAGAGACGTTGTACCTGCACCTGTCTAGTATTCGTGCTTGCACACTGTCGTGCTTCAAAGTCCGTGATTATATGTCACTACGCGCCTGAAAATCGATGTCTACATGTTATATGTTCTCTTTTCGCTGCGGAAAACAGAGACCTGGACTGCTAAGAAGCCTGAGTGATACATAGGATGACACACTTGGCATCCGTGTAGAGGCATTCAAACGCGTGCACATCTTCACTCTCAGTCCTCGGGCTTTTTGAGCTCCTGGACGCTGGAGGATTCAGAGCATAGGCTCCAGGGTGGAACCCATGGGTGGGTGGTGGGTGGGTGGGTGGGTGGCAACCACTGCTGCAATCTGGACTTGGGGTTGCCTCTACTGCCAGGGCGAGACCTCTTCTGCTGAGCTCCACTCTCCATGAATATGCAGCACTCGCCTGATGTTCAGTGAGATGCCACTACATGTTCGGAGTGGGCCTTCACCCGAACTCTTCCCTTGCTGCTTTGTCGAGAGCCCGGTGCGAACACAAAGCCAAAGACTTCTGTAGCATCTGTTTGGCAGCGCCTTCGACAAACCTCCGGTGAGAATCTGGAGCCCTACACCGCTGCAACTCGTGGAAGCCTTACCGGAACCTCTTAGAAACCCTTTGCAAAGCCCTATAGAACCCTTTAGCAACTCGTATAGTAGCTTATCGTAATCCTTCCAAAAACCCCTTGTGACCTTACTGAACTTGGTAGAGTAAAGAAAAAAATATATATATATATATACACATATGTATATATATATATATATACATATATATATATATATGTATATATAGCTCTTTATCACGTCTCCAGACCCCGGAAACTCAGAGAGAAACCCAGGCCTCTGAGCATCTCAATTAGGAGGGCCCCCAGGGGGGAGAGTGCCCTCATTGCCATAGCCGCCACCGCCATAACTATAGTCGACAGACCTGAGCACAGGTGGCTTGGACTTGGGCTAGGGTCTATGTGCCAGGGATTGTACGGTGCAGATTAGCCCTAACAATCTACCACAAAGCCCCGCCACGATGAACCCGCAACCTGCGAGACAGGGGTCATGAACAAAAACCCTAAACAGCAACCGGTTGTTCTTGCAAAGACCGGCAGCAAAGGGCCTGCAAATACCACACTTCGCAGAGACTTCTGCCTTTAATTACATGGTTTTGCCGAAAAAAGGGCATTGGGTCACTCCTAAACGAACGGATGAGTAAACCCCAGAATGAAACAAATAATGATTTCATGGTTGTATAAATATAAATAAATAAATAAATTTATATATATATATATACGTATGTGTGTCTGTGTGCATGTAGCTTTCCTAGACTTGTGAGTATGTGCACTCTACACGCATGTATGTCATGTTTTGTACATATATATATATATAGAGAGAGAGAGACACACACACTCCGCTGCCTTATAACCATACATACATACATACATACATACATACATACATACATACATACAAAAAATCGCACTCGCACTCGACGCTGCAGGCGAGGGTTAGGGTGAATCCTAGTTTCGGATTGCATTTACATACATACATACATACATACATGCATGCATGCATACATACATACATCCATGCATACAAGCATACACTCACGTATACATACACATACATACCCTATACATCAGCCGACAGAAAAAAGCGGATTCGATTGGTAGTTTCAAGCGGAATGGGTCCGATTGATATATTCAAGCGGATCCACTAGTTTTCTGTGACAACCAAGCGAACCAAAAACCAGGCGGGGAACCAATAGGAGAATGCAGCACAAAGCAAGCGGAGCATTCAGGAGCACGGGTGTTTGGCCAGGCTTGCCTGCGATTTCTGGTTTCACAGGTTGTCACAGGTATTCACAGGTTTTCACGGGTTTTCACAGGATTTCACAGGTTTTCACAGGTTTTCACAAGTTTTCACAGGTTTGCACAGGTTTTTACAGGTTTGCACAGGTTTGCACGGGTTTTCACAGAATTTCACAGAACTTCGCAGATTTTCGCACAGTTTCACAGAATTTCACGGATCTTCACAGACTAGTCTGTGAAATTCTGTGAAGATCTGTGAAATTCTGTGAAAACCTGTGTGCTTCAGACTTTCAGGTTGGGTTCGATGTTATTTGTGTGCTGGTCACGGGATCCCAAGCGAAATCGTCGATGAAAAACCTGGCGGAAGCGGTGATAGAAACCTAGCGGGGAACCTAGCGGAGACAAAAGCACCCCAACCGATTCCTAGCGGGTCTGATAGAAAATGCAAAGCGCACATGGTATTTTCAAGCGCAGCAGAATCGATTGGTAGTTTCAAGCGAAATTCGATGTTTTTCAAGCGTGCGATAGTTAGGGTACATACATACAGACAGACGGACAGACAGACAGACAGACAGACATACTTAGATACCTGCACACACAAATACATATACATACACATTATTTTTTGCTCCCACATGGCAACGTCAGCGCGCTGACCCCGCATCGCAGGTATTAAGTCTCACACATATCTATATATATATGTGTGTGTGTGTATACATGCATACAAACAAACATACACATCTACATACCCATACATATACACATACGTAATTACTTACACACATACCAAAAGCATGTTTACTTGTATGTGTAAACTTTCCGTGGCCGGGTTTCGTGCTATAGGGGCCCGTTCTCCACCCGGCCGAACCAATGAAAACGAAATCCTACCCTAAAACCTAAAAACCCAACAACGCCTGAGCCTCAAGCCGCAAGGCAGGGAACAACAAAACGACCACAGGGGCAGCGGCAGAGTACCTAATTAACATGCATGGGAAAAGAAACATCATGAGGCACACGACAGGTGGGGGCAGGGAGGGGTATACCATGAGGGGAGCCTGGCAACGCTGCGCCATCCATGCCAACCCCACCCCGGTATTGACCCGCACTTGGTTCTCGCAATGTTGAGCCACGCTCTTTTGTTTTTTGGTGACTCTTAGTTCGCCACTAGTTTTAAGTTGTGTTATTTTCTTCTTGCTCCCTATTGCAAATGTACGCATTGAGCTTCTTATTGTTCTTTTCCGTCGGGTCGGTGTGTTTCCCTTCTTCCGTCTTTCAGAGCATGTATTCCGGCGGAATTTATGTCTATACAGAATCTGTATGCATGCATGTATGTATGTATGTATGTATGTATGTATACATATGTAAATATTTATGTCTATGTTTATGTTCACTTATACTATATAGAAATGCCTTAGTCTATTTATATGGGTAGTTCTGTAAATGAGGGTCCCTTTTAGGGTCCTTTCTATAAGGGTGCCGTACTGTATTGGGGAGCTAGAAAGGGACCAAGTTTAGAAACCTACCCATATATATATATATATATATAGAAGAGAGAACTGTGGGTCATACGGGGGGTTACCAGAACCTATACATGTATCCCCCAGACCTACATCTCCTCTGCTTCAGTATGCACGAATTTATCGGATGTCTCTTAGAGCTATAGGTGCTGGTCTTTAACCAAACGGAGTCTTAGAATGTTCTGAGGGTCTGTCCGATTTTCGAAGTTTGAACTTTCGGAAACTTCAGAGACTATTGCAAGTTGCAAACTGAGGTCCAGATTAATAGGCAGGTTGGGTCCCTTCTTCTGTTCAGCAGTTCGTTGTTGGCCGATTTTGGAATATGGAACAATGCAAACACTCGACCGGTCGAGATGTTGAGACATTATCAGTCGATGTGTGTTGTGTGCATGTTTCCAACATCTACGAAGTCAAGTCCTTGAAACTGAGACATCCCCAGAGGGTCCAATGTACCTATATAGTAGAATGTAGGGTTTCTATATTAGGAATTGCTATTATGATTTAGGGAAGTATCCTTCATAACAGTACATAGGACCCCTTGGGATCTGACCATGAGCAATACTGCACGTTCGGGCAGCCTGGAGCCTCCAGAGCCCATATGGGAGTTTCCGAAAATTGGGGGTACATTATTTTGGGGTCCTTATAATAGGGATCCTACTATTTAGGGTACCATATTAGGGTCCCCTATTTTCGGAAGCCCCCATATGCTTCCAAGTTCCAAGTAAGCATCAAGCGCCCGCAAAGGGCACTTGCTAATGGGGGTTGATAATGTAGGGCCTTAATAATTAGAAAAGGATTTTGGGGCCCATTATACTGTAATCATAATAAGGAACACCCAAAATAGCACAGGTAAATTTAGGCCCCTATATTACTCGATGCCCCGATGGCATACCAAGATGCCAGGTTCCGAAGCCAGGCTCATCACCTGAGCTAAGGTCTACTCAGCGAAGCAAAAACATGTTTTCCGGAAGGTTTCTGGAGCGTTATCAGGGTCCTTGAGCAAGGGTGTGTCGGAACCGGGTTTAAGGCCCAGACTGCCGGGACTCGGCTGGTCCTACTACTCTGTTGACCATCACGACTCCCAGTAAGAACTAGGTTTGGAAGTCTTACAAGTGGTCGCAAATGTGTTCCGTCTGATTAATGTAGGGGCCTTAATAGTTAGGACTGGGGTTTTGGGGTCAGTATATTAAAAGTATAATAAGGACCCCCAAAATAATATAGGTAATTATTAAGGCCCCTACATTGCGTACTTCTAGCTCTGCAACATCTTGAATCCGTGCTTGAACGCGTCGGCTTCGGGGGCTGGGAGTTGAGATTCGAGATTGGGGTTTCTTATTATAATAATAGTATAATGGGCCCCCAAACCCTATTATACTAATTATAAAGGCCCTACATTAACAGCCCCAAAAGCCGTGAATTCGTCTTCTCCCTCTTCGGTCACCGCGGCGCGGTGAAGAGCCACCAACTTGCAAACCCTCGTGGGGATGACATCACTCTAAACCCTTGAGCGTGCAGAGGTGATCCACATCATGGTCCTCCTTCTCGTCCCCATCACAGTTACAGCCCCTTTCTCAGTGAAGAATCGAGTTTACCGAACATCAACCCTTAGGGCCTAGGCACCGAAGACGTGTATTTTGGACAAGGACGAACCGACTTAATTCAGAGTTCTGGACCAGGACTAGTGGGCTTTTTTCTCAAAACATCTCGAGTTGTGCTTTCCCGGGGCTCAGCCGAGAGTCTTTCACTCGCGTCTCGGAAGGTTGTCGTTTCCTGGTCGAACTTGATACCGGTCACCTTGGCGATGAAAACACTGTGCATGTCCCGCGTATGGTATGTTAGATTTACGAACAAACAAATGGGGGGGGGGGACATACATACGAATACATACATACAGGTCTGAGTCTGGGTTCGGTTTGTTTAACATGATTCCTGGGCCCCAGGTTTTGTGTCGTCACGTGTCGTCATGTTCGCATGCAGGGAGGTGTGGCCTCATGTTAACCAATGGGAAGGAGGCATGTAGAGGGGGAGAGTATGTAAACCCTAAACCCTAAAACCCTGAACCCTCCCTTTCACGGAGTAGTTGGGGTGTCCTGGTAAGCCGTCAACCCCCCTCCCCTCCCAAACAAAAATCGACCTCCGAAGCCCCGGCTGATGGCCTTACGGTGTAGGACTATACGAAGGCCGGGAAGGATTCGCTTCTCAGGTCATGAGCCGCTCATCGACGCCTGTAATATACGATTAGGGGCCTTGATAATTATAGAACAGGGTATGGTATATTAGTATATTATCAGTTAAAAGATGGAATCCTGAATAATGCTTTGGTATTAGATGGAGTAGCCGTAGTGACGATGAGGATGCCGGTGGTGAAGGTGCTATCGGTGCTTCTGATGAGGATAACGACGGCCATGATGTTGCATCATGGCTCACTGCTAACTACCAGAAGGAATCATGGTGATTTTGATGCCAGTGAAACTTATAATTAAGATAGACAGCCTGCGTGTCTGCAGAATGAATTGATACTGGCTTCAGCTGGGACAGGGGTGATGATGATTTCTGCCAATGGTGTTGATGGGAGATCTCAATCCTGAACGCGGGGAAAGTTAATTAAGAGCTCATCCAACGCCTCATTTCAAGCTCTGGAACCCAACTACTCCAAGTCGCGTTGAAGGTCGCATTGTTCGCGGTCAGCCTTGCTTTCCATGCATTTAACAAGGAGAGTATGCGCCTTATCATCTGCAGGGTTGTTTTGGGATGATCCAACTGCTAGATACACTCTCTGACCAGTCCTCGTCCTGCTATGGGCAGTGCTGTAGGCAGCAGCATACACAGCATCCACAGCATCCTTGAACAAACACAGTGATCGCATACAAACATAATATTATGAAACCCTTTTGCAACTGGTTTTGCAACATCACGCCAGGACAGCTGTCTCGCTTCACGCTGCACTCGCGACAGCATGAATTCGGAGGCTGCTGCTGCCCTAAACCCTGCAATAATATTAAAACAACCCCCAACATTAGCAGTGATTAGCAGTTGTCAACTGATGCAGACGATGCTACTACTTGCGATATCGTAGATCGCTTGCAAATACAGCTTTTCTTGCGACTCCTGCCTTGATTTTATGCTTCCTCAGACTTGTCTAGCGATGTTGACGACAAAAGGGGCTGTGACCAGCTACGCTAAAACCACTACCACCACTCACGACCACCACCACCACCACCAGCAGTACGAACACCAGCAGCAGCAACAGCAGCAGCAACAACAATCGCAACAAGACAAATACGACAAGCCACAACCACTACGAAACGTCGACAGCAAAAGCAACCACTACGACTAGGACGATTGTTTTCTACTACTACAGCTGAAACACCGAAGACAAGTACGAAGACAATGGAAGTGCAGCACAATAAGCAACACTCGCAACCTTCTAAAGCCACCACCACCGCCACCACTATCACTACAGCTACTAGTGGTACTGCTGCTGCTGCTGCTGCTGCTGCTACTACTATTACTACCACTACTACCGCTACTACTGCTTCTGCTGTTGCTACGCTACCACTAGTGTTATATACTACTACTGCTAAAAAAGCCGCCACTACTGTCACTGCTGCTGCTACTACTACTACTATTACGACGTGTTCCTGCGTCAGACCTGGGGTTTTCATGTGTTTCGGGCTGAATTGAGACATCAAATGTGAGCACCCTACCGTGTTCTAGGCTGCTAGGAAGAAGGGAATTCGCCGAAACTAGTGCGTCTAGCGACGTAAAGTGCGAGGATTTCGTGCGTAATTCTCAGTGTCAGAAACTCAAAACTACTATCGGCCACGGAAGTACTCATAGGAAGGTTCCGTGTCTTTCGCAAACAAACTTTCCTATGCGCATGCTTCTGAAAGACACGGAATGTTCCGTGTCTTTCGCAAACAAACTTTCTTTTGCGCATGATTCTGAAAGACACGGAATTTTCTATAAGTACTTCCGTTGCCGAGAGCTTCAAAGCTACTTTTCTGAATTCTGACACAGAGGTGAATTACTACTACTACTGCTGCTGCTGCTGCTGCTGCTACTCTACGGCGACTACTACTGCTAACTGCTACTACTCCGACTATGTCTGCTACTACTGCTACTACTACTACTACTACTACTACCACTACGATAACGGGCATGTTTGCCGTCCATCCGAAGTTCCTGTCCTGTGCACAAACGCAGGAACATGTTTGTTTGGCCCTTGTGGAGAAGCATACCGACGCAGTACGTAATGAGGATGCGGATGATAGTCGTGGTGCTGGTTAATGCGACACGAGTGGGTTTTGAAACTGATTTTCCTGCGCGCTGCTGCGTCCTCCCCCATCGCGTCACGCTTCACCCCGCTGGTTTCAAGCAGCCGAAACCTCAACCACCTGGATGTGAAGTTTCAGTGACGACAGGAATGAAGCATAGAACTCAAGCCCAAATTCAAAGGCAAAAGACATCACACACCATGCTTTCAAGGAAAGAAGCTGTTGGTTCAGGAAGCGGCGAAGCGCCGAGGAACCTCAGGTGACCCCCTCTATTCGGGGAGAAGGTCTGCAGCATCTGCAGCTGGGTGCTTCAGTTGGCACGTGGATCTAGGGCTTTTGCTGCCGGTCAAGCGAGCCTTGGAAATTCGGATCAGGATTATGTGTCTGATCTGAATACAAGTTTCTGATGGTTAGGACATTTGAGCCAAAAAACGGCTTGGTTAAAGCTGTGTTACTGTGTTGCTTGAAAAACTGTGAATTGCTTACGGACACAGGCTTGGTCGCGCAGCCAGGGCTCAGTAATACTGTGATGGCAGGAACATAGATCGAGCTCTGCAGCAAGATGCAACAACAGTTGCAAGGACGGCAGGGGCGTGCATGCAAAACCATGGTGAGCACACGACCGCTCAGAATCTCTCGCTTGCAGGCACAACATGACACTGCAAGCTCCCAAACCCCACAACAAAGCCGCACACTGACGCCGGGCAGCTTTGGTATATCCTCTCCGTCAAGAGGTTCATGGGCATGGGATAGATTCCTAAGGATGAGCACAGACTATAGACATGATCGGCATAAAGCTTGTCGCCAGGAGATGCACCAATCGTCATCATCACCAACTTAGAACCATGAACCCAGACAGAGGTTGATGTAGACTTGCAAAATTATGGCAATGGCATGACCTTGCTTCGAGGTTTCACTCACAGGTCAGACGGCTGGGTGCGCGAGGGGTAAGCAATAGCTGGCAGTCTGGCAGCTGGGGATTTGCTTCCTCTCCAACTCGATAGGATGGCGCGGCATTCTCTAATTAGCCGTTGCGATCGGTGCCTCATCCAAAAATGCAATCTGAATTCTTATGGCTCTAAACTCTATCCTGCAAATCGTCATCTGTGGTAAATAGGCATTGTTGGCACTATGGCGAGAGTGCGTCTGGAGTGCCGTTCCAGCGTAACCCTCGGAAGATTAGTTTCTTGACCTGGAAGCCTTGGTTGCCCACTCTTCGCGGAGCCCAGGCTTGGGACGCTTCATTGCAACTTGAGGTTCTCGTCACGCACTGATCTGACAGGGCAAAAGCCGTAAAAACCAGACTGCCGCGGCTAGGTTAAACCTCGAGACCTGGCGATGGGAAAGAAGAAACTTCCGCTCCCCTGTGGACGCCAACATCATACAGTACGGCTTGGGGCAATAATGAAAATAATAATAATAATAATAACGGTGATTTCAGTATCCAGGGGCTCTGTGGCTCAGATGAAGAAAAGTTCAAGCCTAAGAAAGCGAGCAGAAACTTCAATGCGAGCTTCCCAGTTCAAATTCATGGTGAGGGGTCCGGTAACAACTGCTGCCGTGATGCTGTATCGCGCCTCGAAGGTATCTTCCTGATGCTCAACAGCAACACTCAAAATTTTAAAACAGAAACAGCAAGAACATGTCCGAGAGAGAGAGAGAGAGATGCCTGGCAGTGTGTCAGACTGCAGCTCTACGTCGGAAATTTTGGGATGCCGACCCTCGACGATGAAGCAGGTTTTGTCAGGACTTCCGTTCTCCAACGAACGGAGAACCCCAGAACCCAGGTCCAAGGCCTAAATAATGCGACCAGGGATTTTGTGGTCTTACACTCGAGATGTACTCTCTTAAGCTACGACGTGATTTTTCAAGCTTAAACATTATGGATGCGAGGTCGTGCGTGTCTACTTCGAGCCGCTTATTTTGTCAGGTGGGAAGAACTGTAAAACTGTCGCTTACAAACTTATGCTTCTGCATTTCTTCTACACCGCCGGAACACAAGGATGGGACCCAGAAAACAAACTCTTGCTAGCGGGAGGAAGACGGAAGGGAGGAAGCCCAACAGCGCCTGCGGCAAATCCCCGTTGAATGTCCGGACGAAATCGGCGATCGTGACAGCGTCTGCAGTCAGGGAATGCATAGCCACCATGATGGTCTTCAAAGCCTCCTCGCGCCGGATCTGTGCTTGGACCACGGCTTTGCAACTTGCTCCATGTGTCTGGTTGGCGGTTTGAATATAGGGGCCTGTCTCAGCCTCCAACATCTGACAACTGTACCCCTATTGAAATCAACGCCCCGGGGCACCAACATCGCGGCACCTTATTGCGATTCGAGTTGTTGAACACCTTCAGATTCTCGAAGTGACTGATTTCTGGCGAAATGAAAGGGTTCTGTACAATAACCCCAAGCTGAATCGTGCATCATGGGAGACCAACGGTGACGATCAGCATCGGCGGTCATCGAAAACTTATTGATGATGCAAAGACTGAGCTCCTCGACGATAGTCGAGCTCAGCATTACCTGGTTCGAAAGGGCAGTTTAACGCAATGGGAGGAGGATCTGAGCAGCTGCATAAGCCCAATCCCTGAAACCCTGAACCCTCCCTGAACATCAAGCCAAATGTCCGAACAAGCGCAAATTCCGAAGCCCCCCCTGCAATTCAAAACTGCATTGCAAGCATCATCAAGCATTGCCAGTATCTTCTTCCATGTTGTCGTCATACGGCCGTATGCTCAAACGCTGTGCTCAGTTATCATAAGCCGCAGTGTAGCACCCAGTCGCATAACGTATCGAACACTGTCCAACCTTGTGCGAGATTCTACACCGCGCAGGAATATGAACATACATGCCGACTATGGCTGACTACTGCAACCTCCCATCTGAAACACCGCAGCTCAAGACTGAGGAGCAAGTGGTGGATGGGTCATGTTGAGTTGGACCCATCCTTCCATCCTGGGTCCATGTCAGGCAAGCTTCGTCAAGTGTGGTGCTGACCTTCCAGACCTTGACAACCCCAAACACCTTCACAGTTGGCGTGTAGCGACATTTCGCAGCTGCAGACAGATGCGAAGATGATGAGATGATGTATGAATTTCGATTTCGCTGTTAAGGAATATATATTGGGATATAGCATGTGCAGATCAGCTGCCCGGGGCTACGAAAGGCCGCATCCATTTTGACGAGAATCTTGCAACAACCGGAACAAGCCACCTGAACACATGAAACCCTCAAGACTCGCACCCAGCCTCACACCGAAAACCCAAAGACAGCCAAGACTCGAACTTGTACGGACAAGAATCTAAGCTAATACTACAACTGGAGCTGCAGCAGCCGTCGTCGTAGAAGCCGTGGAAATAGTAGTCGTAGAAGAACAAGTAGCAGTAGCAGTAGTAGTAGTAGTAGTAGTAGTAGT